AATTTGAACGATTCACTGGAATTGTGAACTGCTTTTCTGGTAACATCAAATATTAAGGGATATGAAAAGAACTATGTTATTAAGTGTTTCAGAGTTTATGCTAAATGTAAGCTGTGAATAGTTCATCATTTAACGTTGCATTATTTTGCTACACATTGAATGGTAAGCATAACGATAGCGTATGCTCAGGGAAGCCGAGACCATTCTAGAAACTGGTCTTATCATAAAGTGCAAACGACCTCCTAATGTTTACCCATCCACACTCAATACACTCCCTGATGTGGTACAAATCTCAAACATCTATCGTGCATGAGCTTCGATGCAATTGTGTTATGCTTCTGTGCAGAGTATGTACACAATTGCATACTGGTGGCGCGGTGGTGTCTGCAGCTGCTGGCTGCATCAATGGACCCAGCAGAAGCATCGAACTATGGCTTCTTCGTCTTCGCCTGTCTCTATTACTCCTCCTACTTCTATGCTCGAAAAGCGAACCGAACGGAACAACCGGTGGTGGTGATGATGGTGGCCCCGGTGGAACCTGGCGTGGAGGGTTTTGTTCTACTTTAAAGCTCAATTGTTTTGCTGTGTATTCGGAGAGTCAAAACGTTTCAATGGCTTTCGCAAAATTCGAAAGCAATTATAACATTATGCAAATGTGCGCCTGCTTTGGCTGCGACGAGAGACGGGTTGGTGGAGCGATGAGTTGTGCCCGGTATCTCTCTACCACTTGAGGCAGAAATCCGGCCACGCGGAGCTTTAGAATCGCCACCAGTTGGTTGCCGGCGCGTGTACTTGAGGGGAACATCGTCATCGTCGTCGCCGTCGTCGGAGGTTCATGTGGATCCAATTCTGATAGATGGCAAAAATTTCATACAGCTGTGGCAGCCGTTCTCTTTCTTGCCCTCTCCGAAGATCATCACCACTGATGGCCTCTGCCGGGGTGGGATATGTGCGACGTGGTGAACTGATTCGTGCTTACACAGAACAGGGCCGTCAGTGATCAATGATCGGCGGCGCAGTGGTTTGTGCAATCGGGTGCTTGCCGGTATGAACAAATGCACCGAAGCTAATCGAAGCATTAGCAGATAATAGAGCTGGGAGATTGGCTTGGCACTCGCATTGTCTCTTCCCCAGCATCAGACGGACATTTCGTTGGGTGGTTTTAGGAACGCTTGCACCGGAGATGGTCACTGATTGCGAGTTGTGAATTGTGGAGGCCGAGTTGATAGCAAGGCTGAGACTAATTTAGAGCTTGCTCAACGAGTGTGCATTGAATAGTTCGATTGCAACGTCCAAGGGATGGGCACCTATCGTCGTGATTGTTTCGATCTAATGGACAAACGGGTTCCGGCTGGAGATGTCAGAGATGTTTTCAAAATTCGATTCAAGGTGATTGTTTCAAGGTTGACCAACGCTCCTATCAGACATTTTATTTTTAGCTATCTAAAAATTACCCCAAAGCAGTTATGATTCCAACCTGCAATATATCATTTTAATTAGTCAGCAGAAATGAATTATGACGCAGCGCCGTGCTATTTATGCTTCATAAATTATTTGTCATGCTGATGGCCCTGATTCCGGTTAAAGCTGGTGATTCCGTACTAGCAAGTGCTGGGATGTACAACAACGTGCAACTTAATTTATGGTTTTTTTTTTCGGTGGAAATTACAAGAATGACTAGGTGACAAGGCTATGTAACATTTATATCATACAAAGCAGCAAACACTGAATGTCAAATAAGTACATTTTTTTAAATATTACGCCTTATGTAATCTGGTTGGCACGCAAATATGTGTTGTATTTCCTGTAAACTAGAAACCAGACGGTTTTTTTGTTTTCCTTGATTTGTTTTCCGTCGATCTTATTTTCCGTACTGCGTACCAAAGCTACCGACGCAAGTAAGGCAGCTTCCACACCTGGACCCTACCTATCGACCCATCAACTCATGGACTGGGGACCAACGGCTTGTGTTTAGCAGGTTATGCCTCAGAAAATCCCGGCGGTGCCAACTGGGATTGTACCCAGGCCTTTTGAGGTGAGAGGCAATCACGCTTTCCTCTACACCAAAGGCACCGCTTATTAATAAAGATTTAAAAAAAAATCTTTACATGTCAAATGACCTGGGATGATTGTTAGTAATTTAAAAGTATTATATTATTTATTGGAAATGCTTAGCATCTTCAGGATACAATTGAAAGTTTAATACTGTTTAGTTTAAACTTATAAACACTTCAAACGACCTCTGATGACCTACAAAGATGATGAATATATGTTAAATAACATACCAACAAATCCCCGCCAAACTAACAGGGAGCTTTACTGTTCTACTTTAACTATTTTGTTAGTATTACTTCACGCGTGAAGTTAACGCTTTACATAGTTGAAGATGTGGTACTATCAACTCTATGTCTTCATCTCCTCATCTATCGTATAAAACGAGCACTTGAAGTTAGTTATTTGACGCTTAGCATCTTCAACTATTTACTGTTCTAGTTTTGCAGCCCAGGAAAAAATGCAATAGATAATATCAACACTAAGCCCAAACTAGAAGAGACATCTGAATCCTTAATTTCCAACATACAACAACCATATAACATCAGTTGTTCTGTAAAGGAACGCTCTACTAACAGAGATGTAACCTGGTGGAATTATAGATTGGAAAAGCAATGTCTTCTTTGTAATCTAGAAAAAAAAAACGCTCTGAACATTTATTGTGTAAATGTGTTGCACTATTTGATAAAAGGTGCAAATTTCCTGACAAAGGCATTTTAGAACCTCATGAAATCTGGACCAGCGCTTCCAACAAAGTGGTCCACTTCATACAAAGTATCATTCCATGTTTGGAAAATGCTCTAGATGATGATGACCACTCATATAGTGGTATATTATCATATCACACGGCATAAAGCAAACCTGGTCGCAGTGGTCAATGTCCCCAACAAAGGAAAACACAGGAGTCAGAAACATAGCCAATGTTCATTTGTTTTATGTTCCTCATTTTAGTATATTAAATATATGTTTAATAACATTATTCAAAAATACAATTAACTCGAGTACGTTTCAGTTTATGTTTCATTTATGTTATTATTCTTGGATCCTTTACGTGAGCAAATACGTTTTGCAGTACATGAAAGTTTAGTTCGCAAACAGTGCGCATTATTTATCTCATTCAAATCAATACGCCGCTCAATAGCGCCTGAGATATGAGACGCCCTCTAAATTGTTGGCTGCCCCTTCCCCAATTCAGAACCCTCATAAAACCCAAAGTGGACCGTATTTACATTGTGACTTTCCTACTTAAGAATCCTGGGCACCTTTAGTGGGGCAAAGGGCCTAGGGGAAAGACTTCCATAAAACTCAATTATAAATATTTAGTGGAATTGTGAAGACCTGCATAAATACACCCAGAGGATAGTTGAAACTGTCTTTCTTACCCCTTGCCGATTCTCGGATCAATTAAGGCTGGCAACTCCCATTGTATAGAGCCAGATATTACTCGCGGCAATTACAGCTTGTAACCATAATCTGTTAATTCCGCAAACATTCGACAGACAATGCGATTGCAGGAAAGCATATGCAGAGCAAACTTTCCAGAAAGATAAAAATCTTTCAAAAAATCAGTACACAACCCTCCGAATATATTATCGAGCCTAAGCACCACACCCATCATCGCAAGCAAGCCACCTCTTCCTTCCCGACTAAAACGCTCTTCTTTGCATATGCACATCTTGGCGCCCAACAAGATTCCCACACCCACAACCGTTCCTATATGATGCTGATTTCAAGATCGCAATCACTGCAGCAATTCCTCCACAGCTTCACCATCAGCAGAAATTTTCGATGCTGCGATAAAGATGCTTGATGGCCTGATAAACACATGCACGCAGACACACCGAGACTCGAACGCACAAAGACCTCCTCCGGTTTGCCATCAACGCACCACGGGATAGCTTATAGAAAAAAAAAGCAAAACTCATTTTCCCATAGCTTTATTCGAAATCACACGCATTTTCCGCTTTATTCGTTTCATTCCACCTCATGAAGCCATGATAGGGTCTTCTATGACTCTACAAAAAGCCATATCAGACCTACTATTTATTAGATATGGAGGGAGAATGGAAGACACAGCAATGATTGAGCAAGTTTTCTGCTTACTTTGGCATGCAATATCGGAAAAGCAGCGATGGAAGAGTTCAAGCTTGTGTTAGATAGATTTGAACAGTTTTGAAATGTGTTATGTGAATGGAGATTTGATAATTAAAGTGAGCGACTTTCAAATGATCAGGAAGGGACAATTACGTAGTTTCAAAGCTAAAACCATTTGCTTGAAAGCAGTTTAGGTAAAACCAGTATCAAATTTGAAATTGTTCATCATTCCACTAATGTGCATATTTCAATCAAGCCTAAACTATGTCGATGTTGTCATGTATGCTGTGATCAACAACGTAATGGATTCAGCATTTGATTCAAAGGGGTCTTATATTTGAACATCTCGATAGGATTTTGATTAACTTCAAATGATGTTGTGATGTGTCAGTCATGTTTTTAATAGTCTTAACATGTTGATTACTTGTGTACACCAAGTCAACTCTAAGCTCACTGTAAATAGCAGTGCTTTGCTCGATTCTGAAAACCGCATTTTCTTAAAATAGTTTTAAGAGGCTCAAAACACCCCCGCAACACCTCTCAAGCCTGCCCTGCTCATCATGAACCTCATCATCGTCGTACGAACGCAAATGAGACCATTTGTCTATTCCAACGATGCCTCCAGGGCATCCAATTTCATCAGTCAGCAGTGCTGAAATGATAAAGCCTCTCATACCTCCATATTTCCTGTCTGGCTCCAGAATATCATTCCCGTGGTGGCTAGACACATCCAAGCGAACCGATGCGAAGCGAAGCTTCGCAGCAAGAGATTAATTACTCACAAAATTAACTTCACTGTCGTTTCATCGTTAATCATTGTACCACTCTTCCCTCTTCCTTTCCACGTCACGCAGGTCCGGACGAACCGACGGGGGCACAAATTCCATCCATGTTCCTCAACTATATCGGCAGCGACATCGATTGGAAGTTCAACACGGAACCGGAGCAGTATGCCTGTTTGGGATCTCCGGAGCAGCGCTGCTACTGGCCCCGTGGTAAGGTCCTCGGAGGAACATCGGTCATGAATGGTATGATGTACATCCGCGGCAACCAGGTTGACTACGACGACTGGGAATCCATGGGTAACCCCGGCTGGAAGTGGAAGGATGTTCTGCCATACTTCATGAAATCAGAGGACAATCAACAGATGCCCGAGGTTGACAATAAGTATCACACTACCGGAGGATTGCTGCCAGTTTCGAAGTTCCCGTATAACCCTCCGTTCTCGTACGCGGTTCTAAAGGGAGGTGAAGAACTGGGATACACCACGCACGATTTGAATGGCGCCAACTCTACAGGATTCATGATAGCTCAAACTACCAGTAAGAACGGTATCCGCTACAGTGCATCCCGAGCTTTCCTTCGTCCAGCTGTGAACAGACCAAATCTGCACATCTTGCTCAATACTACCGTCACCAAAGTTCTGGTTCATCCAACGTCGAAAACCGCCCACGGTGTTGAAATCATCGACGAAGATGGTCACATGCGCAAGATTCTCGTAAAGAAGGAAGTCATCGTCAGCGGAGGAACCGTAAATTCACCGCAGGTTCTACTGCTTAGTGGTATCGGCCCTAAAGCCCATCTTGAACAGGTTGGTGTTCGACCGATTCATAACCTTCCCGGCGTTGGACATAATCTGCACAACCACGTTGCTTACTTCATCAATTTCTTCATCAACGATTCCAACACGGCTCCGCTGAACTGGGCTACCGCAATGGAATATTTGCTTTTCCGTGATGGTCTAATGTCCGGTACGGGAGTGAGCGCCGTTACGGCCAAAATTAGTACAAAATACTCCGAACGTCCTGATGATCCAGATCTCCAGTTCTACTTCGGCGGCTTCCTTGCCGATTGCGCCAAGACCGGTCAAGTGGGTGAGTTGCTGAGCAACGATTCCCGTTCGATTCAAATCTTCCCGGCTGTTTTGCACCCAAAGAGTCGCGGATATATTGAGCTGAAGTCAAACAACCCCCTGGATCATCCCAAGATTGTTGTCAACTATCTGAAGGAAGAACACGACGTCAAGGTTCTGGTAGAGGGTATCAAGTTTGCCATCCAGTTGTCCGAAACCGATGCGCTTCAGGCGTACGGAATGCAACTGGATAGGACTCCAGTCAAGGCTTGCCAGGAGTTTGAATTTGGATCACAGGTATAACTTTCCGAGTTTGCATTGTGTGGTAATGGACACTAACTGGGCTTCTTGTTTCTTTTTTTTTTTAGGAATACTGGGAATGTGCCGTCCGACAGAACACCGGGGCCGAAAATCACCAGGTCGGTGCTTGCAAGATGGGACCACTGCGGGATCCAATGGCCGTCGTTGATCATGAGCTGCGCGTCCACGGAGTTCGAAATCTACGAGTGATCGATGCTTCGGTGATGCCAAAGGTTACGTCCGGCAATACCAACGCTCCGATTATCATGATCGCCGAGAAGGGAGCCCATCTGATTCGTAGGGCGTGGGGAGCTCGCTAAAGCTAACGATTGCGGGACTTGTGTACTTCTCTAGCATTTAAGACGCGAAATTGACATTGTATCGTGACTGTTAAGGCGATTTCGCAACGTACCCAGATGATATCGGTGAACTAATCTTTCTCTAACTCTTGCTGATCAGTAGAGAAATAGAATTCAGCGTCAACCAGATGGAGAGCATTATTGCATACAAGGAATTAATGTACGATTCCTCCTACGACCATGATTTGTGACTAGTAAGATATAAACTAGAGATTGATTCGATTTCTCCTCGGTCGAGAAAGAGAACTCAGTTGTTATACAATTTCCTGTAAGTTTTATTATCGAAGAAACGTTACAAATTTCCTGCTAATTGTTGCCACATAAAAATCAAACTTGCATAAAATGGAAATTGCAATGTGAGGTATTATTGTCAATATCATCACACGGAAATCCAACGTACGTTTAATGATACCGACTGCAATCCAATCAACGTCATGCATCAAATTCATTAGTCGAGTGTATCGATTCTTTAAGTATAATTTTCATGTAAATTATAATAATTTTATGATAATAAATATAAAACAAAACAATTGGAGGAATCTAGCTTACATGTCACATCTATCCATTTTTCCTCAAATTCGACTCGTAACATATCTACATTGGACACTTGCCAAATCCCGCAATAATATTTTTTTTATTCTAACTGTCATCTGGCTCAGACCAATCGATCAATAAAGCCAAGTCAAGTATGTTAAGATTCCATTGAATAAGTTTATATGTATTTTATCAAAACTCAAAGTTAATCCTTAAGACTCAAACATTCTGTTTTATTCTTTTCAGGTATTCTACTATTGCCATATATTCTGCTTAATGTTTTTTGTTTGGCTAGAATTAATTGAATGGGAGTCTTATTTCATAAAATTGGAAACCTAGTTCTTATCGAATGGTATTTTGGACAATCGTACAGTATGTGCCATAGGTTCTCTGTCACGTCACATTGGTCAAAACGATCATTTGGAATTAATTTCCATGTAGCTAGTCTGTACTTTGTTGTCATGTGTCCCGACCTGATGCGAGATAACATGATAGTGTCTAAAGTTTCAAAACTCATTTTTGTAAACCAGGGTGACAAAGAAGTTTGTTTAGCATGTTCAAAGTGAAATTTGTCTTTTTCCGATGAAATTTGTGAGTATTGCCAGATGCTTTCTGTTTCATTCTTAAGAATATTAATCAAATCTTGTAAGGTAAAATTAATCTGTTCTATAGTGTTTCGAGTTGTTCCAAGCTTGGCCGCATAATCCGCTCTGTCATTACCGACTAAATCTATGTGATCAGGAATCCATTGAATAGAGACTGTTTCTATCGATGATTTCTCAACTATATTTATTAGCTGTTTAATCAAATAATTTTCGATTTCTTTGGAGTTGTTTAATAATGTGCAATCACTCTTAGAATCTGAGAAAATAGCTAATTTCTTATATATTTTTGGTTTCCGCGAATTCTATTGCTTTGATTATTGCTACTATTTTAGTATTCATAATTTTAAAACCTGTTTTTAATCTTTGGCTAAAGGTTATTTAATAATGAGCCATCTGTATACAGCTTATAAGTGTTTTAGTAGTTTATCTGGATTAGATCTGTAGCTATTTGTCTTTATGTTGATGTTGAAAATATTTGCTTTTTTTAGTTTATCTATTGCATCATTAACCTTGAGTTTATTTCCTAATGTAAGTTAACATACTATTTCCATATTGTCAGCTAGTTGATAGAAGTGAAAATTATTGATTGAAGCGATCTTTTCTATAAAAGATGTATGTCTAGGCAGATAGTTATGTTGCATTAAGTCTGAAAGAGTTTTTACTATTGTACTATTTTTAAAGTATAATGTTTTTGTTAATTCTTTCAGAGCTAAGATTTCTTCTCTTACCATTAACGGTTCACCTGATTCATATAAAACAACATGATTCAGAATTAATTTCAATAGTCTCATGGAAGTCCTTATTGCTAAGAGATAAACTGTTTCTAGCTTTGAAAAATGGGTTTTAGCAGCTGCGACTACTAATGTGATTCCGTAATCTAAGTATGGTCTTACTATTGCTTTACTTATCCTTAACATCTCTTCAGGATGACCTCCACTACGTTTCACTTACGTTGGAGTTCATTTTAAGAATATTTATTTACTTTTTTGCTTTGATAGCCGTCTGTTCAATGTGTTTATTGAATAACAATTTGTGATCTAAATGGATTCCCAAAAATTTATGACTTTCTATTATAGGTACTGTTGTTTTATTGATTCTAACATTTATGTGTGGGTTAAACTTATTTCTGAAAAGCATTGTGGCTGATTTGTGTGGATTCAATTCAAATCTTAGTTTCCTGAATTCTATTGTTAATTTGGATAAAAATATATTCATTTAATTATATACTACTGCTACACTGAATCATATACTGCCGTGAAATCATCTGCAAATTGTATCAATTTTCCGTCTTCCTGAATTATGTTATGTACAGTTTTGGTGTATAGGTTAAATAAAATAGAGGATAGTGGACACTATTAGTTATGTGTGTAATTTCAGCACCACCATTAAATTATAAGATAGTTTTCCTGTTTCGAAGGCAATGGAATATCCTGTTTATTATATGATTAGGGATATTTTCTTTTCGAAGCGTTTCTAAGAGTTTATCTACATTGACATTATCAAAAGCTTTTGACAAATCTAGAAATGTCACAACCATAACCAGGCCTTCTCTTTTTGTCTGTTTTACTAAAGAAACCAAGTAATTGGCGCAATGCATTGCTGATTTATTTTTTTTCTAAATTCAAAAGAATTAACTGGAAGAATGTTATTGTCTGTTATGCACTCGTTCAATTCCTTTTTAACTGTAACATCATTGCTAATGGTCTGTACGAAAAAAAAATCGGATCTTTACCTGACTTCAGTAGAGGTACTATATTGATTGCTCTCCATTCTTCTGGTATATTACCTGAATTGAGAACTTCATTCAAGAGCTCAGAGATTCATATTTGTAAATTTAGATTGATACGTTTTAGTGTATAAAATGAGAGAAGACCTGGTACTGGAGTTGAATGATCTTTTTTTAGAAGAAATGATCGGTCTTATATCTCTGAAATCTATTTTAATCTGCTGCTGTGTTGTATTTGGAATAAAGTTAATTTATAATGATATTGTAGGGAAGTTATGATGCATGAATTGTGTTGCTAACTGTTTGTCGTTTAGTAATATTAAATTATTTTTAGATGGACGTCGTCCTACTATCAGCTTAACTGTATTCCACAACTCTTTCTGAGATATATCTGGATGTATAGAGTTAATTAGTTCCTTCCAGCTTTTTCTCTTTTCGCTTCTTATTTTTCTCTTTAATATTGCTCTTTCTCCTTTAAAATCTTTTAAATTTTGGATTATTTGATTTATATTGAATTCCTTTAATGTTTTGATTTTTGATTCTATTTAGTATTTCCCCAATTTATTTAGTCCACCAAGGTTTAGGTATTCGTTTAACCTTTCCTATGGTAAACTATATTTTGAACAATTCATTTGTTCTTCTATTATTGGGGAAATATCTTAAGGTGTGTTAATCATTTACGACTGTATTTGATTTATTTCCTCTACTGCTTGATTTTTGTTAAAGAATTCTACATTGGTTTGATTATTGGGAGCTTAGTTTTATATTTCTATTTTGATGATTTTGTGATTACTGAAAAAATCTTGATTTAATACTGTCCATTTTGATTTGAAGCTACCCGTGCAGCAACGAATATCTCGATACCCTAAATTGGTGTGGATGAGCTTGACATAAGAGGTAAAATACCAAAAAATAATACAAAAAAATGATCCCACAATACCATTCCAATACCAAATTATGATAATGCAATACCAAAACAATACCACCCAGGTATTATTTTGGAATCCAAACATCAATTTTTGGTATTTAAAAAGTATTTTCCATGTAATTTTTTGGTATTATGCTTTGGTATTTTACCTCTTATGTCATGCTGGTCAATACCAAATTTTGGAATCAGATCAGAATTAGGTATTCATTAGTTATTTTCTCCTGCTCGGGTATTGAAGGTGATGCAAAAGTTAGATATATTGCTGAGGGGAGTGTATTTAATCAATGTGGTGGTTTAATCAATGTACTGAAGCCGTTATTAAGCAGAACTAAGTACTTGTTTTCAAGTAAATGGTCTATTAATTCACCTCTTGGACAATAAGGGTGATTTGGGCTCCATAATTTATTATGTACATTAAAGTCTCCTGGTTGGTTTATTATGTTTTTCTATTATGTCTAAAAGTTTCATAAGTGGATTTTTAGTAACATTGTTGTTTATGGGCAGAGGGGGTATGTAAATTGATATTATGAGCCTTTTTGGAATGGTTCATTGCGAGCTAAGAGGAAGAGGAGACAACTTACTTCTTACTCTTTCATCTCTATCGCTATCTTACGCACTTCAAATCGGCCAATCACGAGCTGGTTTGCGTTTGACAGAAAAGTGGTACGTTTTCGCCCTCGTATTGTCTTCTCTTCCTCTTAGATTGCCAGCAGCTCGGTCGCTTTTAACGCTGCCGTTAGATGCGATATGTGTGAAATCTCGCTCAACTTTTCAAATAGAAGAAAATGATCGATTCTCTCCATCGACTATCTCTTTCTTACTCGGCTACATAAACGTTTCCTTGTGTATTTTGCCTATTGGATGTTGGATCACATTTTCTTTCATCAAACTGGTGTCAAAAATATCCGCAAATGCCTTTACACGGCTATAATGATCCAAAGAGAAAATCGATGAAGAGAATCGATAAATGTACATTGGTCTATTTGAAAAGTTGTGCGAGAAATAAAGAACACCATCAAGTTCAGGTTCAGCAATGGAAGTGAAAAACCAAACCTGGGTGAAACTGTATATTTCGTGAAAACACTAGACGTGGACCTGGTTGAAATGGAAGCTGCTTTTCGCGATGGGGAGGAAAAAGGACTTTTTATAAAGCTTAAATCCGAAGCATCGATGCTCAATGCCTAGACGTTTAACCCGGAAGATTTAATTTTCTACTATGCAAATGGAAAAACAACAGAAGTATGCATGTCGCATTTTGGGTTATACATTCAATATGTGCATGTGTATTTAAGTGACCGAAAAAACATTGTCTGAAAACCTGGTGGATTAACTTTTAATTCCAACCCTGTTTGGATGATCTGCCAAATGTTTGCTTAGAGTCGTGTTGATTAACTCTGATGTTGACGTCAAAGCAGCTATATATTCTTGATCGGTACTTAATCCGAGGATAATAGCGGCTGGTCGAAAGACAAAATGTCAAATGATAAAACTTTGAATGACAGAAGGTCGAAAAACGAAAGGTTGAAGGTACAAAAGGTCGAATTATGTGAAGGGAGAAAAAAGGTTGAATGATGAAAAGAGGGACAAAAGGTCGAATGGACAAAGTGCCGAATGGACAAAAGTTCCAATGGACAAAAGGTTGAATTAACAAAAGGTCGAATGGACAAAAGTTCCAATGGACAAAAGGTTGAATGGACAAAAGGTCGAATGAACAAAAGTTCGAATGGACAATAGGTGG